CGGCTGTGTCTGCACCCAGGATTCCACTATGAACCCTGGGGTTTTCACCAGTACTGGCCCCCTGTCCTGGGCCGTGTACCTGATGAGGAAAGGGCAGACGGGCACCGGACTCTTCGGTAAAGCTTGCTTTTTTTTTTTTTTTGCACCTTCTAGTCGTTACCATCACGTATCACGTTTTTAACTAAATCAAATACTCAATGAAAAGCATGTCATATTCCACTTGTTGGTATTTTGTCTGATCTCGAGTTTCACATCACAGATATCTGGTAGTTTAAAGGTCTGCCCAGATGCGGGTTTATCCAGTAGTTGGGTGTATAAGCAAAAGTAAGAGCATTGCTGGTGTTTTGTTGTCCTTGGTAGAGTTTTATGGGTCATAGTGTTTTCTCAGGGCTGTCATGGGTGATCGCTTATCATGATGGATTCAGTTAGCATGGGTATTGCATAAGCCTGTTACTGGTTCCTAAAAACCAGTGGTTCCAATGGTCCATGTATTAAATGCATCATGTATTGTGTGAGATTACCTCTACGATGGTTTTCCTATCATTAAATTAAACTTACAATCTCTTGACGCATTTTGTTTCAGACTATCCTGGGGGCAGTATCATCCATCCATCCATCTGTCTGTCCATTTATCCATCCATCCATCCATCCATCCATCATCTACATCTTACAGATTTGGGGTATCAAACTAGTTGTGTGTCAGGCTGGATCCGAAACCTTTAGAGGTGCCACATGCTCTGTTATTTCCACTCAAAGCAGCTGTTTTAGTAAACATTTGAACATTTTCAATATGATGCTCCATGTGTGCTCACACCCTACAACCAGTGTCAGAAACTGTCTCTGGGCATGCGTATTGAGACCTAGCTGTAGCGGTAGGCCTCCAAGCATCTTGTTTTTGTGCTAAGTGCTTTTTCTAGGGTTTTTCTGCCAAAGCAGATCCAACAAAACACCAGGGAATACGTTTGTCCTGAACCAGTGCAAACATTCCCTTTGATATGAAACGTTTTATTTGTTAAAGAGCAGTCTGTAAATACTTGTGAAAGGGACATATCATGCAGAAGTCCCATTTGGCTTCCATGTAGGTCTCTGCTGACTCTATGGCTGTTTTTACAGGACCAGAGCGTTTGTAAAACGGGATTTGCCGCGGCTCCCTGAGGAGGATACAGGTCGTTTATAAGATCAGACCATGGCGGTAATGTGGCGCAATCGTGGCAATTTTATAAAAGATTAGATGATGGCAGCATAAAGGGTGTATGGAGCGGTCCGCACACTTCCGTTTATCTTGGACATAACTTGCTTTTTATTGCGATTGAAGCCGTGATCGTTACGTTTTTTTTAACAAGCAGCTCCTAAAGGTGTCTGTCCCCATCAGTCCCTGTGCAGTCTCTGGTGATCTGAGCTTCAGCTCTAACAGAGAGGCTCATGGAGCGCTGCGGCGCTCCAGTTTGCCATCTCAGCTGATTTTGTTCAAAAAGCAAACCTTATTGCCTGGGTTTACTTTCATTTTCAATAAATTTGCCAGCCGGAACTCAGCAGTAACTCCCCACGTCATCATGACACCTGCCTCTGTTGCGCCAGGGCGCATACGACAGACCATTACCGCAGTATTACTACCAAGCGAGGCGGAATGAATGCCGCAAAATTCGCGCAACGCCATGCCGGCATGTCTGTCTTATGAAAAAGGCTTATAAAATATAATAAATTTACACCACCACCACCACCCCTTACCTCACTGGTCCACACTTAGGGAGGCTTCCATTCTGGGCAAGGTGGAACAGCGGCTCTTCTTGAAGCCCCTCCCGTATATCAGAGCTCCTCACTTCATAGCAGCCATTCATGGATGGGTGGGCGTGGCCAGCAATCACTTATTTGCATTAATGTGACAGAGCTCTGACATGATTAATTATGGGAGTTACTGTAATTGTCATGAATAAAGCTATTTTATTTGAGATCAAGGACTAAAATATTGGCCAAGGATGCTTTCCGCAATTTTTGAATGATTAAGAGACGTAAATGCCAAACCAGCTTGGATGTCTTCCATGTTACCAAGTTAGAACCCCACCCCTTATCAAGCGATGAAAATGCTGTTGAACTTCTGCTAGGACCGTTCCTACCTGCACCATCACAGAGAACATTACGCTAAGTTGGTACCTAAAGATCCAATAGATATTTAGCTGTATGATAAAGCTCACAAGCCATAGCGCTCAATACCCATAAAGCAAGAGGAATCTTAAGGAATTTAAGGTCAACAACGTGTAGAAATTTTGACTTTGGAACTAAAATAAAAGAGTTTTGAAAAAAAGATCTTGAAGAAAAATGTCACACTTTGTGTCCAAGGTTGTAGCGGAAGTGGTTGACGTCTGAAAATCCTACCAGTGGCAAAACAAAGACAACAGAGAGTCTATTCATGACAGCATCAGAGCAAGCCCTTAGCTGAAGAGCAACAGCAGATAGGACCATGGAGACAATTCAGAGATGACCCTGAGACAGTCCAGCAGATAATAGCAGGATGTAAGATGTAGGCAATGGGACACCATAACCGAGTGGCTAGAACAGTGTAAAGGAAAATCTGAGTCTAATCTGGGTTAAAGGTTCTATAGTCAGAGTGGGATTCTCCACCATGAGTGGATCCAGTCTGACAAACAGGCAATGGCTAACCAAGTGGAAATCATGGTGGTCTACTAACTGCAGAAAAGGTGGTGGTGATAGATGCGAAGAACCAAAGTGACTATAACATCGGGGTAAAAGACATGAGAAGATGCAGAAACACCAAAGGATGAGAGAAGAACTAGAGGTTGTGGAGCGTTAGGACCTGAGTAGGACCAGAGGTCATTAGAGCACTTAGAGTTGTGACCACCCAAACTAGCACCTGTGGAACTCTCAAGTTTTACCCGACACAAATGCATTACGTGATCTGTAAGCGGCGCCGTCACTCCACCCACACACATCACACACTGTGGGTGGGGCACCAGGTGCCCACCCTCACTCGAACACCTTTAGTGACAAAGCGGATTGCCACCCTTGTCCCACAGTCGTTGATGGGATGAGCCACAAAATTAAATTAAGGGCACCATGTGACCAGTCTGTGGGCCAGTGGCGGTGATGCTGAACATTCAGCTCAGTCGGATGGGTTTTGACAGACTCTGAACCCAGAAACAGCAGCAGGCAGAACCAATCACTCAGCTCCCTAGCCAATCAGTGACTGTTGGGAAATGCAATCCAACTGAACCAAACCCATCCGAGTTAAGCATGTGTTGCTGCTGGAAAGGTGCATTTAGAAGGTCCCTCAAGCTCTCAGGCCTGCGGTGAAGGACTCTTGTGGAAGAAGTTCATCTATTGATGTAAATCCTGATTGATATCTGGAGGATCATTGGAGAGGAGGAGGATGAAAGCTCAGGTTACAGGTCAGTCTGTGGGAAATGCTGGATGAGTGAAACCTAACTCTTCTCCTTGTTCCTTTCTCATCACAAGTCTGTTTCTTTACCTACATGATTATGTAGCTCGCAGCATCTGTTCTGTTTAGATCTGTGAGGAAGTCAGAAAGGATGAGATGAACAACAGAGGAATATATCAGAATAACATTCTGTCACTTTTTCTTTTCTTTACTGGTTAGAAAATAATCACAGATTTTCTGCAGATAACCAAGAAAAGTGTAGATTCTGGTGACGAGGAACCGAACGATTTCCAAAAGGATATGTCCAACTCAAGTCACGATGAGAGATGAGGTGTTTACATTTTAACCCCCCCCCCCCCCCCCCCCACCCACACACACACACACACACACACACACTTGGCTATGAGGAGCTAGAAGCAGAGGCAAAGTGGCCTTTAACTAAATGTCCTCTGACAGCATTTGGATGTGACATAAATTACTGTTAAAATTCATTTTTAAAAATAGCTTTTTCTGATTCCATCCAGATGTTTTACTAGCTCTGTGATTCACACTGTTCTAGTCTGTTTTCAAACCAGTATGAGTCGCTCTTGTTTTTATTTTTCTGCATTTTGGTTCAACACTTTCATGAAGTTTAAATGCGTAACAGAAATTTTGTGACTGTATATTTTGCTTCCTCTTGGACTCCCTTGAAAATGATTTTTAATCTCAAAAAGACCTTCCTGTTAAATGAAGAATAAATAAATACAATAAAATAAATAGGCAGGTTCTAAACAGTGTGATGGGGAGATTTGTAAATAACAAGATATAGGGAGGCTAAGTCTCCTCCCTTTCCGGGTGGCTCATGGGTCCCCGGAAGAACGAAAAAATGAATGTGAGTCAACGGGGCTAAAAACGCTGTGGCTACACTGTAGCTCATCGGTGTAAAGCGCTTCGGAGTCCTCTGAATCTGAAAGGCGCTATGGAAGTGCGGGCCATTTCTCATCATTTAACTGATTAGCACGGAGTTGAAGTGTAATAAACACCTGGAGCATCCTAAATCTTTTATGATTTAAATAAATTATTTAAATTGTTTGTTAACTGATGTTAGAATAATGTAATTTAAAAACTATAGAAACAACTTATTTAGCTCTTTGACTTTCAGAAGTTCCTTGAATTAGATCCCTTACTGCCCTCTACTGTTTATATGATGTAATGTGTGTGTGTGTGTGTGTGTGTGTGTGTGTGTGTGTGTGTGTGTGTGTGTGTGTGTGTGTGTGTGTGTGTGTGTGTGTGTGTGTGTGTGTGTGTGTGTGTGTGTGTGTGTGTGTGTGTGTGTGTGTGATTGAGCGAGAGAGCGAGAGAGAGAGAGAGAGAGAGAGAGAGAGTGAGAGAGAGAGAGAGAGAGAGAGAGAGAGAGAGAGAGAGAGAGAGAGAGAGAGAGAGAGAGAGAGAGAGAGAGAGAGAGAGAGAGAGAGAGTTTATCAGTACAAACATAATTTTGTCTGAATTCAGACTCTTTTTACACACATCCGGGTGTTTTATACTCATGACTGAATTGTGTTTTCTCAGTTTACGCTCCTCCGATAAACCGCGCCTACTTTCGGACGGACGCGGCTCTGATTGGTTCGTTCTCCATTTGCTGCGCTGCTATTGGCTGACAGCGGTTCCACACAGCAGGCTATGTAAATCCGGACGCGTGCCGGTAAAAGCTGAGCCTGTGTGTGTGACAGATAGGCCATTGATCCAGCCGGGAGTAGGATTAGCGGAACACTTACACACCTGACCTTGTTAGAGGAAAACTAGCTTTAGGTTTTCAGCAGCGCGGTTCCCATTCCTCTTCCTGTCTGTCGCTTCTCCTTTCACTTCCTCCTTGGGTGAGACGTCCCAGAGAGCGCGGGGACTCGCATGCTGCAGGTGTCTGCAGCTCTGACTCACTCGCGTCCGGAGCAGGACTTCTTGGTTTTTCATTCTGTGGAGAGAAACTCGGACAGTTTTGGCTCAGAGACCAGAGCTGTGGGAGGTCTGAGGAGGAGACCTGGGCTTCTTGTTGGTGTCGCACAGAGGCGCAGAAATGGTGTTTCTGTGGGACGCAAAGTACGGTAGGCCCTCCAATTTACTCCCGAGGAAAGCTGAATCCTAATAAAAGTTACAGCTCTGTCAGAATAAATATAAAAATATATTATAGGCCACTTTAAAAACTATATTTCAATGTATTATGCCTAAATATGGTTCCATTCTCATTTATCTCTTCAACATGTGAAGTATTTCTCACATTTTTATTTCTTTTTTATTAAAAAATATCCTGTGTTCAATTTCTGGAGACTAAAAACTATCCTGCTGTAAACAAGATTGTTGTAAAAAAAAAAAACAAAACAAACAAACAAAAAAAAAACAATTTGAAAATCTATTGAAATTATAATATTGTAACTAAAATCAATCAATCAATCAATCAATCAAAGCTTTATTTATAAAATAAGTAAATCTCATCGGTCTGATGAATAGATTTGCTTAAAACTGGTCCAGTGGGCAGGGTGGATGTGAACCACCAGCTGTTCCAGGTCCGAACCGTACAGTTCACTACTAAGAGGCAGTCAGATGGATCTGTGTGGAGGTGAACAATTTACATAACATTTTAGACACAAAGAGCTCTGATTTCAACCTCCTGAAACTCTGCTCAATGCTGACATTTTGTTATTAACCGTCCTGGCTTCAGTTTTAAATGTTTAATTTTTTTATCGTTTTGATTTCATACAAAACAAACTTGTAATTGAAAACTTTTTGCATTTAATCCAATTAGTTTTCTGTATTATTATTTTTTATTTTCTACAATTTGATTATTCTGTGATTCTTTAAATTGTTTATTTGTTGTAATTAGATTATATTTCCTCAGCCTGCCAACGGAATGCAATAAAAACAGTCTTATCACCATCAGGCACATTTATGAGATGTGTTCAACACTAATGTAGCTGCACCAAAAAAAAAAAAAAAAAACTAAATCAAATTTGAATGTGACCAGAATCGGCCAATATTTAACGTGTTAAGAAAGTGTGATTATAAAATTCTCTTCCATGTATTTTTATCCGTAATGAACAATTACAAAGCAGTAAAAATAATAATAAATACATTTTTAAAAAAGTAAGAAAACAGCATGTTTGAATTCCTCGTAGTTAATCACTAATTAAAACTTTCAATATAAGTAATCGGGTATAAATCTGAGATCTAAGATAAAAAGTATCTTGTGAATTAATTTTTTTAAGGATTCTAGACCTGCAGGAACAGAACTGGTGACTAGTGCAACTACGTAGTTATTCATGCTGCAACGATTTATTCTTCATCAAATAAGAAACGACAAAATTTCTGTTCCCCAACCAACTGAAAACCCACCCCAGCAGCAGGATGTTACAGGCATTTCAGCAGATTTGAAACTGCAGAATAAAACGGGAATTGCAGGGTTTTGTTTGGCTGCGGGATGAATCTGTTTCTCGCATTTTTTTCTGCTAGATACAAACCACCTGAAGCGGAATTATTTAGGATGTGATTTCTCGTTTGTTCGTTTAGCCGTTTTGCTGCTTTGAGGATTTTCCTGTTTCCCACCAGGCACCGTCTGGTTTCTACTGGTCACCAACCCCTGCCAGAGCAGCCTCATACGTTCTCAGGGCTGAGCCTCTCTGGGGAATTCAGAACGTTTGCAAACAACTGAAGACTTTTTGGAAACTCACAAACACAAAAAGTGTCACCAACACTTGCCGACCAGTCAGACACTGGCTTTGGTGCAAAGCTAAAAACCAAAGGTGGCCTAGGTCAGATGGCCGTTCACCATCATTAACATGTAAAACAGCATAATAAAAACTACTGAAGTCCTCTCGCTGCTTTTGGTTTTGGTTCCACCCGTGGAGCGTCCGTGGCCTCCATCGAGGCGTCCCGTCTCCGGCCAGCCACCAACAGCTGCATCCTTCATCCCCGCAGGTTCAGTTCCTGCGTTTAATGGATGATAATTACACTACAGGCAGGAACTGTCCTCAGATGAACTTATTGATAGTATATCACTTTTCACAATCTATCTGTGGGGAGTCTGAACAAACGGGAACGACTTTAGTTTAATCGTTACGCTGTCTGGTGTGTCATCCATCTCTGACTCGCGTCCCGACTCGCTGCATTCGCATTCCATGTTTGAGACTTCCTGTTTATTTCCTAAGCGGAAAGTGAAACGGATAAATGTAGCATTTTTCTACACTGACCAGGACTCGGATTGGTTCTGTTAACCAGGAAGTATCAGTAAAAGGAGAGATTAGCCTTGCATACTAAGAGCTGATGGGTTTTCTTCCCCACTGATCACATTACAACAATAAGACTTATTAAAACCGATAATTAAAAAATATCCTTTTTTCCCTCTTTGTCTAATAGATCCAGCTCCTGGCCGGCGTTACACTCCCACCTCCACCTCGCTCGCCACGGGAGGGAAAATGGCCGAGGCACTGCCCCTGGGGGCACAGGAGGCCAGTGGGGGGGGCGCTCTGATGGGCAAGCTGCGCCTCTCAGACCACGGCATGGCAGAGGTAAAACCACACCGCTCCGATAACCGCTCCGCTCAGGAAGTGACGGGATGCTTTGTTACCAGGTGATCTCGGACCATTCAGGAGAGCTGGTGAAGACCGACAGTCCCAACTTCCTGTGCTCCGTGCTCCCCTCCCACTGGAGGTGCAACAAGACTCTGCCCATCGCTTTCAAGGTGAGTTTCATCACTAAAGAAAATATGTCTTTAATATAAACGTGGGATGAAGATCAAATTAGTATACTTCAGTAAAAAAGTAAAAAGTACAACAAAACAAATAATAGAGTGTATTACAATACATATAATAGTATTCTATTCATGCTTTTATTTGTGAAACTGTCAAATTATTTATTATTTTTGGTGGCCGTACGTAAATGGCTCAGTACTTATGGGTACAAAGGGCCTTGCCCTCGTAACTAAAGTACCCAATATGTACTGCCATAAGTACCCTGATGTAAGAGGTGTAACTGACTTTAGATCTAATTTCTCACACACACACACATTTCTGCCATTCCTCAAGTTTTTATTTTTTTTTTTATTAAAAATTCATCAATATAACAAATAAAACCTCTGCTCACCCTGAGACTTCCATCATAAAGACCAGCCAGTTGGATCAATAAAACCAACATTTCCCACTGGAGAAAGACAGGAAACCAGTGAGTTAATACCTGCATTTGCTTGGGCCGGGTCAGAACCACCTGAGACTCTGGTTTTAACCTAAACTATCATTTCACTGATCAAATAAAAATCTTAAACACGTCCTAAGCTCTGTTCCAGCGCCGCTTCTGTCAGTACGCCCCAGAGCAGCTGTGGCTACAGCGTAGCTCATCAGCACCGGTGTGTGTGAATGAGTGTGTGTTGTAAAGCACCTTAGGGGCTTCTAAGACTCTAGAGGGCGCTGTATGAATATAGGCATCTCACCTAAGCATAGCCGGTGTGTAATGTGAACATTTGATTTCTCAATAGCCTTTAAGTAATTCCCATCCAGGTAACAATATTTATCACTATGTTCAACCTTTTTCTGTAAAATCAATGCATACTTTAGAAAACAACCAGGTGGGAAAAGACTTATTAATTGTTCTGGTCGTCAAATACAACAAACTTATTCTAAAGTTCTCCCAATTCCCAGGAATGTTGTTCTGCTATACTCGTTAAATGTGTACGTCACCGACAGCGGACCCCTTCCCCTCAGCTCACCGCAGCGTTATTCCTCTTAATCTCATCATTGTCTCTTGTTCACTGTAAAAGTCCCAAAACTTGTGTTTTAAGGAAAAAACTAGTTTTGTGAGATTAAATCAAATATTAATACATCCTTTAAGGCAGCTAGCATCGACAGGGTAATATACAACACCCCCAAATAAACAGTGGAGTAAAATATCAAAAAAAGATGTTGTTAATATCGCCGTGTGATGCTTTTTGTTGTGTCACAGAGGCTCGCCTTCCAGGACTTTAAAGTCTTTTTCTACAGCAAAAATCAATCATCAGATTTACTCATCTGCAGTGTTTTTAAAACGCAGTCTGATGATTCACTGGTTTCCTTTGTATTCCCTTGTGTGTGTGTGTGTGTGTGTGTGTGTGTGTGTGTGTGTGTGTGTGTGTGTGTGTGTGTGTGTGTGTGTGTGTGTGTGTGTGGGGATGGCTTTCCTGTTCTGAAACAAAATGCATTTCTGAAAAAGCAGCACTAGTTGCAGAAGACACACACACACACACACACACACACACACACACACACACACGGAGAGAAAGAGAGAGACAGCAGATTGATTTATTGAGTTTTATGCATTAGTCTTTTACGTGTGTGTGTGTGTGTGTGTCTGTGTGTGTGTGTGTGTGTGTGTGTGTGTGTGTGTGTGTGTGTGTGTGTTTGGTCCACAATGCATCGTTGTGGAGTGTCATGAGTGGATGTCATTGCCTCTCACAGATAATGGACGATATGCACACATAAATAAAAATTTCATGTTCAAACAATAACAACCAGACATCATGCAAAAAGACGATGCATGTTTCTTTTTCGCCCAATGAGTTAATGCTGTTTTACCAAAGAGGGCCTTTTAAAGCATCATCCCTTTTGATACTCTGAGGTGTACCTCTGGTTAATCCCTGTGTTACTACAAGGTTTAATCCCAGAGTACCTATATGTTTCTATGGTTAGCTTAGAAGGCTTAAGGCTCCAGGACACCATCCATAGTTCCTTGGCTCGTGGGATTGTGACTTAAGGAGGAGGTTTGGAGAAATGGTGGGAGTATAGGAGTGTTTTGCACTTTAAAAACCAGCCTCAAAAAGGCCTCACCAACTGCCACACAGGCAAGAACTGCCTTGCTCATTTGCACACTGATTGTTTTGGGGGATATATGTGTTAATATGAAAATTAGTGTCTCTGAGTCTATATAATCAGTAGGTATTGAAATAGAGAACATGCTCCCTCAATGCATCTAGTTACATTTTATACTAAAGCAAATATCTAAAGGAAGCTTCAGGAATTGTAAAATAAACAATAGACTTAAACGGGTGTATGCAGACCAGTGATTGTAGAGCACAGACCATAGCAAGTGTGTGAGGGTAATATCTCTTCTTTCAACCTCGGTAAAAAGTGAAGCCATAGTGTCCTGCCGACGGGTCTTGGTACTTTATGTTCTTACAACCAGAGTCTGGGCATACAAGAGTGGCCAGGTTTGGACCCAGTAAGCCTTAGATGAGTTCGAAATGAAAAATAATTTCAGAGTATTTGAATAATCAGAAATTTTCATTCATGAGTTAAATGACAAACAAACTTATGATCAGCCATATTTATACATATAATAGTTGAGAAAATCCATCTTAATAAAAACACATTTAACGACTATTGACTCTTGTATTTTTCTCAACTGGATCACCAGGTGGTTGCTCTGGGTGATATCCCTGATGGTACCATGGTAACGGTCATGGCTGGAAATGATGAGAATTATTCAGCAGAGCTTCGCAATGCCACGGCGGCCATCAAGAACCAAGTGGCCAGATTCAATGACCTGCGCTTTGTGGGTCGCAGTGGAAGAGGTATGTAAAAATGTAGTAATACATGCATACTTAACATTATTGACTAGTATTTATAAAAGTCCATACATGATATACCTGACTAAGGAAAATTGTGGTAATAAACCTCATTAGATCCTTTTGTTTTAAACAAAAGAAAACAGAAAAACTGTAAAACAATCCCTCGGGATCTGCTGATGAGATGTTGGAACTAACTGATCATCAGGATGAGCTCTTGTAAAAACAAGCAGGTGTTTTCTGGTCTGGAGCATACGGGTGTGTGTTAACCTAAGAATAACAGACCTAACAACAGTGTTACTGCCTAGCAATGTGCATCGGGTCATTTATAGAGGCAGTGATTATTTACACATGGAACAAATTCAAAACAACTGATGATCTTTTCAGAAAATTCACCTAAAGGTCCAGAGAAATGTTGTAAAACCCACATTTTCCATCCCAGACTCTACAGGACTCAGGCCTCTAGTTTCTTTTATTAAAACCAACCTCCCAATAAAAGTAATACCAACTTTGGCCAGGCACGCATGACAAGACAATTATGCTAACTTTTCACCCAGTTCTCCCCTCTCTACAAGCTTAGGGACACTCTGATTACTGTAATGGCTCTAAACATAATCTTATCAGATAATCCTGCCGTGTGTGTGGTGTTAAGATCTGGTCTGTTCAGAAAGACGTAGGGCTTGCTCTGATCACAAATCAGGGACATCTAAAATGTTGGATTGTCTTGGCTCGATATCGCAGCATGTCTGTGCCTAAGGATAAACAAGCGTGGATCAGAAAGCATTAGGTCTCAAGAGACTTTGCGAGACTTCCTGTCTGACTGGGGAATGTCCATGAGTGAAATCTGTTCCATGTACAGAGTGTCGTCTTTGCCACGGGACCGACTACAGCACATAGCAGGACCAAAACGGTCTTTTTACCATGACATGTGGGGTCTCTTATGTTTTCAATATTGTCCATCAGTTATATAATCCTGCCGTGTGAACTGGGCTTTCGGCAACTGTAAGCCGACACAAGCAGCTGAGAAACATCAGGGAGAGCTGTAATAGCTGTATTGACAGCTCGGTCTCATGCTGGTTGAAATTTAATAGATGTGTTTTGCACAAGCACTCAACACATGAAGAAGGGGAAGTACAAGTAGAAAAAAAAACATAATTCATTCAACTTCCTTCTAACATTCGGTTTAATGTCTACCTCACTCTGCCTCACACTCCTCTCTCCCCCAGCTCTGTGTTTAACGGACACACTAGACCACAGTTACGCTATATCAGTCATAAGCAAATGTCCCTACTTATCTATTTAAAACACTGATCCTGTACACACAACTCCGCCAACGCTTTCACACACACTAACTCAAGCACATAACAGTGGTACTCATTCACCGGTCAGAGAATATAGGAATATTACTTCATAGGACACACAGCACTGTTGGAATATTAGCAATTAATCATTTGGGTGGTGCTGTTTAAACTGATAAAACTGATAAATAAAATTAGAGTGGTGGTTCATTTATCTTCCTTCCTGTCAAAATAAAAGCAGATGCACAATGTTGACATATTCACTCAAGGTTAGGGTTGGGTCTGATTGATTCTTATGAATAGCAAACTACATTAACGAAGCTCTTATCACGTTTTCCTGTTGAAGACATCTCTGCTCGTCTTCAGAGGAAGTTTTTTTTTACTTTTGACACTAATTCATTAGTTTGATTGGAGCGTTTGTTTCTTTTAGTGTGTGTGGGTGGATGTTAGTGTCAGAGTTGTTCATTAGTTAGTGCTTTATTCACACAGAGACACTAATGAGTTGCGCTGCACTTGCACTGAACACATCAAGGTTGTGGACTTTATTAGCTGTTCTCTCAAGTGGATTCCTTTGTTTAGCTGGAATTTCAGGCAGAAGCTGAATCGGCTAGATTTCTTCAGAAGTTAGTTAATAAAAAAAAAGTCAAACAGGCAAATTCACTGTCAGGTGCAGCACAAATGCAAATAGCTTCTTTATTCTTTCTGTTGCCCGCTTCCTTTCAGAATCAGATTCACAAAACAAAACACTAGTAATTATTTACTGGAACAAACACTCCCATGAAGTTCAGCAGGTCGGAGCAATTAGCACTCTCTAGCATCTGTCCAAGACACAAAGGGAAGACAGAGCTAGCAGCGAAAAACAAATGTTTCTCAGAGTGATCTGCAGATCATAAAGGATAAAAAACAAAGTCACTTCCAACATCAGAAATCCGACTGGAGCTTGATGATCAATTTTGAACTTCAATAGGAAACAAGGACAAACATTTAGACATATAGTCACTCTTTATCTTCACTGTATTAATTGATCAAAACTGAAAAATAATGAAACGCACATACATGCAGGCATGCATGCACAGACTAGGGATGGGGGTTCCATCACAATAAATCGTCGATAGTTTCTGTGGATGTGAGAGAAATGGTAAATGGCCTGTATTTGATATAGCGCCTTCTAGAGACATGGAACCCCCCAAGGCGCTTTACAACACAATCAGTCATTCACCCATTCACACACACATTCACACACTGGTGGTGATGAGCTACGATGTAGCCACAGCTGTCCTGGGGCGCACTGACAGAGGCGAGGCTGCCGAGCACTGGCGCCACCGGTCCCTCCAACCACCACCAGCAGGCAATGTGGGTTAAGTGTCTTGCCCAAGGACACAACAACAGCGACAGACTGAGCGGGGCTCGAACATGCAACCTTCCGATTACGGGGCGAGCACTTAACTCCTGTGCCACTGTCGCACCGTTGTTTTTAACAATAGGTTGTCTTTTTCTTGTTCTGAACATGCGCTGGTAGATAAAGGATGTTCCCACAGGCAGTCATTTATTTATGGAACAATCGGATTCTCTTCACTGGAAGAGATGATCACTTCAACATTTCCAGATAAACCTGCCCTCTTTCTGTGAATGTAAATGACCAGCAGAAGCTTTAGGATTTCCTTGTTTCTCTTCCCCGAGATGCAAACACCACTGACTCTCAAGAGATTTTAATGGTAAATGTGTGTCACAAACAGTGCAGCTCTTTGAGAATCAGACACTTTTTTTTTACAGCGGACATAAACACCGGGGGTTTTCCTCTAAATGCAGCAGAACTTTTGATCTAATTAGGACGTAGTCTGCAACAAATGGGGTTGCAGTAGTACCTTTGTGAGCGTTTGGTGAAGATGGACCTAAATATCTATAAAAGCACCAGAGGCAACATAAAAAGTGTTAAAGCTCCTGAACATGTCTGTGGTGGTTTTAATCTAGAGCACAGCTATGGTTAAAATCAACTGAACACAGGTGTGCACATGCGTCTGCAGAACAGCCAACAGCAAATCAAAAGCAGAAGTAAAGTTTGTGAACAAGTAATGCAACAATTAGCATTTGTTGTATTTTATGATTCTTGCATGCCGTGTTTTTCTATCTGTGTGTGCCTCCAGAGGCAGCTCGTTTTCATTCTCACACTTAGTTCCTCTTTTAGACAGCGCTGGTAGTTTTCTCTTTGACAATATGTAACCGCACACGCACACACACACACGCGCGCGCACGCACACACACACACACACACACACACACACACACACACACACACACACACACACACACACACACAAATTATCTTTCTTTGAACTGATAATGTGTCAGGAGTAGTTTAAAGAAGTACCTCTGATTTTTGTACCTGATGTGTGTGTGTGTGTGTGTGTGTGTGTGTGTGTGTGTGTGTGTGTGTGTGTGTGTGTGTGTGTGTGTGTGTGTGTGTGTGTGTGTGTGTGTGTGTGTGTGTGTGTGTGTGTGTGTGTAATCAGCCAGTTTATTGTTAGAATAACACTGACTCCATCTTTCCTCTTGCTCTAGTTGTTGAACTTTATCAAACCAAATCTCCAACTGTAAACAGTTTTTCTGTATTAGATTCTGTTCAAAGTACTCTTGTGTTTAACTGTTTAACTAGAGAGTACATGGTGAATAAAACAGACTACACACAGTATACTTTTAGTAAATGTACCAGTTCTGATGCCCTCTTGTGGCCATCTGTGAAAAGTGACTAAAATATCCTCGTGCTTTGGTCCGGTTGATTCATTTTCCTCAGCACTATAAAAACTATAGGGCTCCATTATCAAACATACAGACCTAAAATAGGTCACCAGTGTTTTAGTTATAACATACACGCACACTTTACAGTCACACGCTCACACACAAGGCTTGTGAGTTTGCATCCAATGCGAAGCTGATGAATTGTTCTAAAAATCGATCTTCATTGATCTTCCTGCTGCTGACCAACTTAGATGCAGATTTCAGTTTCCAACAGGACTTGGCACCTGCACACAGTGTTGAAGCTACCAGTACCTGGTTTAAGGACCGTGGTATCCCTGTTCTGGATTGGCCAGAAAACACGCCTGTCCTTAACCCCATAGAACGTCTATGGGGTAGAGGAAGATGCAATATGCCAGACCCAACAATTCAGAAGAGCTGAAGGCCACTTTCAGAAGCAACATGGGCTCTTATAACACCTGAGCAGTTCCACAGACTGATGGACTCCATGCCACGCCGCATTGCTGCAGTAATCCAGGCTAAAGGAGCTCCAACTAAATACTGAGTGATGTACATGCTCATACTTTTCATCTTCATACTTTTCAGTTTGTCAATATTTCTAAAATTCATTTTTTTCATTGAACTTAATTCATGTTGTAATATTCTGGGATTTTCATTAGTTGTCAGTTATAATCATGAACATTTGAAATATGTGTGTAATGAATGAATCTAATATACAAGCTTCACTTTCTGAATGGAACTACTGAAACAAATCAACTTTGTCATAATTTTCTATGTTTATGATCAGCACCTTTAATTATGGGTAAAGAATCCATAACAGTCTATATGTCTGGGTTATGTGAGGTAAATGGTCTTTAAAGCGAAAATTCACGAGAGTTCAGTTTTGAGCAGTACGATCTGGTGGTGCAGCACATCAGTACTACAGGTTAGAATAGATGAAAATAGACTTTACTGATACCTCAGTGGGGAAATTCAATTGTTACAGCAGCACAAACACTTAGGAGAATAATTTGAAAAAAAAAACTTGTTTACGCACATAGGCAGTAAGCTACTATTGTAACCTTCAACCACTAAAAACCACAAATAAAATGAAAGACTTGGGTAACTTGGGTGATATCACTAGAATAGACATTGAGAGAGTGTCACCGTTCAAATTTCTAGACACAAACATATCAAAGAACCTCACATAGACACACAACACCAATTGTCTGATAAAGAAGGCACAACAATGGCTATACTACCTGAGGGCTCTCAGGAAGATCAACCTGCCACAAAAACCGCTGCACCATAGAGAGTGTCCTGACCAACAGCCTCCTGGTGGGGTCCAGCAGCAGCTCTACAGCTGACAGAAAGTCCCTGCAGAGAGTAATCAAAACAGAGAAAACAACAAGCACTCACCTGCCTGCCCTGGATGACATCTTCACCACTCGCTGCCTTTGAAAAACGACAAACATCCTGCAGAACACAAACCACCTGCTGACCATCTCTTCAGACTTCTTCTGTCTGTTATGTTTATGTTTATATATTTAGCAGACGCTTTTGTCCAAAGCGACTTACAAGTGATAATCGGCATGTTGCCCTTGAGGCTAACAACAACAATAACAACAACAACTTGGCATCAATCATGGAGAGGAGGGAACAAGGAGTGGACGGTAGAGAGGGGGGACGGGTGCAGGGAGGGTGCTAGTTTAGAAGATGCTCTCTGAAGAGCAGGGTCTTCAGGAGTTTCTTGAAAATTGAAAAGGAAGCCCCTGTTCTGGTAGTGCTTGGTAGGTCATTCCACATTTGTGGAACGATGCATGAGAAAAGTCTAGATTGTCCTGGGCGTGGTGTAGGCACTGCTAGCCGACGATCCTGTGATGACCGGAGTGGTCGGGCCGAGACGTAAGCCTTTTGCAAGAGGATTCAGGTAGATGGGAGCCGTACCATCTCGGACTTTGCATGCTAGTGTTAGCAATTTGAATTTGATGCGTGCAGCTAGCGGTAGCCAGTGGAGCTCAATGAACAGAGGGGTGACGTGTGCTCTTTTTGGCTGATTGAAGACCAGACGCGCCGCTGCGTTCTGGACCATTTGAAGAGGTCTCACAGTACAGCCTGGAAGACCAGTTAGAAGGGCATTGCAGTAATGGAGGCGGGAGACAACAGTAGATTGCACCAGGAGCTGGGTGGCATGTTGTGTTAGGTATGGTCTTATCTTTCGTATGTTATACAGCGCAAAGCGGCATGAACGAGCAACAGAGGCAACATGATCTTTAAAGGTCAGGTGTTCATCAATCACAACACCCAGATTTCAAACTGCCTTTGAAGGAACCAGAGATAGGAAGTCATTTTGGATTGATATATTGTGCTGTATGGATGGTTTTGCTGGGATGACAAGTAGTTCAGTTTTAGAGAGGTTGAGTTGGAGATGGTGGGATTTCATCCATTTTGATATGTCAGAGAGACAGTTTGATATTCGTGCAGAGACAGTGTGGTCGTCTGGTGGAAATGACAGATAGAGCTGGGTGTCGTCTGCATAGCAGTGGTAGGAGAAGCCATGTGATCGAATGATCTCACCCAGTGAGGTGGTGTATATGGCAAAGAGAAGAGGTCCTAGTACTGAGCCCTGGGGGACTCCTGTGGCAATATGGTGCACGGTAGAGCATTGTGCAAGCCAAGATACACTGAATGATCGTCCTGTGAGGTACGATTGAAACCAGATGTGTGCTTTCTCTGTGATGCCCATGGTAGAGAGTGTGGACAAAAGGAAGCCATGGTTTACGGCGTCAAATGCTGCCGATAAGTCGAGCAGGATAAGCACTGAGGATTAGGCAGTCGCTCTAGCTTCTTTTAAGGATTCCGTCACTGCTAACAGAGCAGTTTCAGTGGAGTGGCCCTTTTTGAACCAAATTGGTAAGGGTCAAGCAGACAGTTTTGTGAGAAGTATTCTGTGACCTGCTTGTGAGCTGTTAAAGGATACAGGGCAATAAAAACACACTAACAGGATGTTAGACAGCTTTTATACAAGAGTATCACTGAACTGAATGTTGCTGCTAGGGGGTCTCACTAACAATGATCCTGCTGGACATTAGTGCACTACAGCACCTTTACGTGTAGCTAGTTAACCCTGAAACCTCAACATGTGACTGTTTACATTTCTAATATGTTTATATTTCTGGATGTTGTTTAAACTTGTCTTATGTTTACATTTATACTTTTACACCTTAAACTAGCTGTGTGTGTGTGTGGAGAGTGTGGATTGCGGATAAAAATGGAGAACCAGATGATTTCTGAGGACATTTAGCACTACGCTAATTTTGCTGCTTCTGCAAATTCCTGCATACATCAGCACTCTGATGTAAATTCCAGCTTTGACCTGGAGATGAAATGTCTTCGTTTTAAGCTGTGACAGAGCCAGGTTCTAGTGCTTATAAATTGTCCACATATTTACACATAGACAATGTAATATATGTTGAAACTGGATCATTTTTGGGCTCCCCCTGGGTGTGACAGTTGAGGGCTTCTGGGGGAGCCCATCACTTTTTCACGGGTGCAGGGCCAACCAATATTTATGTCGATGGGGCCAACCCTGGACACACGAGGAATCACTTTTTAATTCTAACAGACTTACTGAGGACACAAGATTAAGTTCTCCTGAATTTTTTCTGATCTTTAACTGATCCAACCTTTTGGAACCCACCTTTCCCTTTTTTATCTCTTCATTTTTACAGGAAAGAGTTTCACTCTGACAATCACAGTGTTCACCAACCCTCCCCAGGTAGCGACATACCAGCGAGCTATTAAAATCACAGTGGATGGTCCCAGAGAGCCACGACGTGAGTACCTTCCACACATAAATACTGATGTTCTTCAGCAGATAAAGACTAATTCTGCGACACGTTTCAAATCCAGGTCAGTTCCTCTTTTCAGGGTTGTTTGATTATTTTAGGCCCTTTATTGTACTCATGAATCTGCTGAAAGCACATTGCTTTGCATAGTCTATGAAATTACTTAAAAGCAGACGCTTTGATGCTCCACCTGAGAGTAAATCTGTAAGGCTTGTTATCAGACATCAATTCTGTTTGCTTCACAGTCAGACAGGACACGGTAAAAAAAAAAAATCTGTTCATGTGTAGTTTTTGCCGTGCTGCTTTGAAACCACCAAAACCGGTATATCAGTAAATGTTTACCGCCACATGTGTAGCCTCGTATTTTTTAAATTGTCCAACAGTTTAAAAATCCTGCAGTGAACCTACGTGTGGCCGGACCATTTCTAAACTGTCATGCATTTAGGTTTCACCTGGCACGTTACCTTCTGACATATTGTTATTGCACCGTGAATCATTACAAGGGACATTTCTGATGAGGGAGGAGCTACATCTGACTCACAAAGCTTTATTCTTAACTGCAATGAACCTGTTGCAACGGAGTTTCTTTCCTGCGCTGTGATGAAACGCGGGAATTCTTCCAGAATGTTGAAAGCCAGAAGAAATATGAGACGGCGTTAGGTTTGCTTGTGATGAGTAAAACGGGCCAAAAACAGAAGGTGTTCACGATAAAAGGCAATTATGTGATTAGAAGAAATAGGTGAGCCTAGAGGTGAAGGGCGCCCCCACCGTCCCCAGAGGAAGAGACTGAAGTCTGAGAGCTCCGCAGCTCCACATCCAGTGTGACAGACCGCAATCTCGCTGTTCCATTTCCATCTTCCCTAAACCTAATACCAAACCTTTTTAACCCAAAGCTGCTGCTGTATCTCTAATTCAATTACACATCACTCTCCAGTTGAATTTTAAAGGTTTTATTCTCTCTCTCCTAGGTCATCGTCAAAAGTTGGATGAGGTCAAGCCCAGCTCACTGGCCTTCTCTGAGCGGCTAACGGAGCTGGAGCAGCTAAGAAGGAGCTCCATTAGGGTGACCCCCCCTCATCACCACCACCACCACCATCAGCCCCCCGTAAACAGCCGCCAGGCCACAGTTCTGAACGCTGCCACATTTTCCAGCCCCCCACACTCTCATGTATCAGCTGGTAAGAATAAAAAGCGGGAGGATACAAAGACAGTGAATGCAACTAAGATTATTAGTGGGAAAATAATCCGATCAGGGTTCTCAACCTTTATATGTACAAGTCTAATCAGTTTTCTAGAAAAGGTCAAAGGTGAAAAGCTAATTAAATTTATTGAATGACCTTAAACTTGACCAAAAATGCAATAAATGTTATTGTTTGTCTAATGATTCTAACATTAAAGTCCCACTCTAATAATCGCTTTTAGCTGCTTTTCTCAGTGGTCTTTAAACTAAGATTGTGCTGTTTTAGCCAAAATCACAAAACCTGTGCCGTTTTCTGGTACTGAGTTTCTACATTAGCTCATTAAAAAAGTGCTACTGGGTTGTGGGCGGAGCCACGAACAGGGACACTCTAGTAAGGCTCCCGACTTGCACGCAGGGGACCCGGGTTCAAATCCAGCCTGGGCTAGATTTTTTCAATTTAGTTTAGACAGTTGGACCGAGCTCGCTCGCACATAAGCTGGTCAGAGCGGACAAAGCAGCGCCGTGGAGCAGGTGGAGGACACAGTCGGACAGGTGGAGTGAAGGAGGAGCTCGGAGCAGCAGATGGAGCAGGTGGATGACTTCCAAGCAGCAATCCGGACCACTGAGATTATCATCAGGAAATGTGTTTGTTCTTTCTGGGTAAAACATAAACCGTTATCATCCACCGGCTCTGAGCTCCTCCTTCACGCCACCTGCTGGGAGACGCACGGAGGTGACGAGGTGAAACGGTCCCACCCGCTCTAACGGAAAAGTAATGTTACACGTGTTTGTGCTCCACCTAGTGGGTGTGTGGTGTAACGAAGCCAGTAAGTTTTAGACTGAAGTTCTTCATCTGTTGCTGATTCACAGCGATTGGAATGCAGAAATACTCAGAAATGCAATTTAACACTTAAATTTCTTTAGAAGTGTCCGGTAGCATAAGAAAAATGCCTCAAGAATATGTAAAAACAGAAAAAAGACAATTTTCAATAGAGTGGGTCTTTGAACAGTGATGTTTGTGTAGTTTTATGAACATTTTTAACTCACTTTAATCTCTTTGATATTTCAAACTATAAATGGTCTTTGTATTCTCACAAGGATGAGTGAACTAAATTGAATGTGCAATGGGACGGTGTGATAATAAAATCGTTAAGGTAAAGGTTACAGATGGTGGAAATACAAAAACCTACTGCCTGAAGCTTGGTAGGAAAGATTTGGTCATCAGATGAACCAACTGAGTAATTACAGTAGAAAGCAACCTCATGTTGAGTCGTATAATGATGTTAGCATCTCATAGCCTAGCAAGGCAAGAGTGGGCGACGGTGGCACAGGAGTTAAGTACTCGCCCCGTAATCGGAAGGTTGCAGGTTCGAGCCCAGCTCAGTCTGTCGCTGTCGTCGTGTCCTTGGGCAAGACACTTAACCCACGTTGCCTGCTGGTGGTGGTCGGCGGGACCGGTGGCGCCAGTGCTCGGCAGCCTCGCCTCTGTCAGGGCAGCTGTGGCTACATCATAGCTCACCCCCACCAGTGTGTGAATGTGTGTGTGAATGGGTGAATGACTGATTATGTTGTAAAGCACCTTGGGGGGTTCCAGGACTCTAGAAGGCGCTATATCAAATACAGGCCATTTACCCTTTAGTTCACTGGGCTAAGCATCTCATACTTCCATTCATAACTTATTAACCTCATGCCGGGACAAATTCAGTTGACCTATGTTTGTATACTTCGAGAACACCACAGTGGTGGGACATAACACCTCTGATAATCACGCCATCAGAAGACACTGGAATCGCTCATGGCGCCCACAGATCTGCATGTGGTTGCCTGGGCCATTATCTTACATGCTAATCGTTTTTCATGTCATGCGTGGAACGACTATAATAGTTCCCGTGATTACTGGAAAGGATACGTACAGTCAGTGAAAGAAAAAACCCACAATGGTCACAGAAATAACTTGAATCTGAGAAAAGTAATAATAAATAATAATAATAAAAACTCTTAAATTTAACCAATGAAAGTCAGACATTGCTTTTCAACCATTATTCAACAAAATTGTTTAAAAGAATAAACCCATGGAACAGGCCTGGACAAAGATGATGGTACCCCAAACTTAATATTTAGTTGCACAACCTTTTGAGGCAATCAAACAATTCATGTAACTGTCAATGAGACTTCTACACCTGACAGCAGGTATTTTGGCCCACTCCTCATGAGCAACCTGCTCCAGTTGTGTCCGTTTTGAAGGGTGCCTTTTCCAGCATGTTTCAGCTCCTTTCAAAGGTCCTCAATAGGATAGAGGTCAGGGCTCATTGATAGTCGCTCTAGAATTGTCCATTGTTTCCTCTTAGCCATCTTGGGTGTTTTTAGCTGTGTGTTCTGGGTCATTGTCCTGACCGGCGACTGAGACCAAGCTTTCTGACGATGGCCAGCACATTTCTCTCTAGAATCCCTTGATAGCCTTCAGATTTCATCGTAGCCTGCACAGATGCAGACACCCTGTGCCAGATGCAGCAAAGCAGCCCCAGAACATAACAAAGCCTCCTCCATGTTTCACAGTAGGGATAGTGTTATCTTCTTGATATGCTTCATTTTTCCATCTGTGAACATGAGCAAAAAGTTCAATTTTTGTCTCATCTAGTACAAACAAGAGTTTGGCTGCTTGTGAGCAGGAAAGAAGAAAAAGTAACACAAGTACACCAAGAGTGTCTCCATGCATTCTCAGGCATTGGATCATTGTCCTAATCAAGACTATTTGTGACTGCAATGGCAGCTTCTGATCTCTACTGTTGCCCTCCTTTCTATGGTTCAACATTTATTGTACTGTAATAGACACCACATCTTTGAATGTAGGAATGAGCCACATTAATCTGGAGCGTTTGCGAGTGTGTGAATTCCCCAACCTTTCCACACGGCTTGCATCATTACTCGTTGTTTGTCCTTGTGGTTGTAGTGAGAGCCATTGTTGTCAGTGTGTGTTTGTGTGCATCTATTGGTGTGTACATGCAAGTGTGTGGGTTGTGGTTGCTGTGGAGACCCAATGTGGAACCAGCAGACAGAATCGGTTCCTCGTTGCCATTCAGTGGTAATGACGTTAAACAAGTACTTATAGTGTGTGTGTGTGTGTGTGTGTGTGTGTGTGTGTGTGTGTGTGTGTGTGTGTGTGTGTGTGTGTGTGTGTGTGTGTGTGTGTGTGTGTGTGTGTGTGTGTGTGTGTGTGTGTGTGTGTGTGTGTGTGTGTGTGTGGGAGAGCATGTCAAAAAGGAAATGATAGCCTGCTAGCAGAAAGTATACATGTGAAAAAGTTAAACACTTGAAATGAAGAAAAACCCTCCAGTTCAAAGACATGCAGTCCGTTAACCTTAAACCATGTAGATTTTTTGACAATATTTTATCATATATTTGCAGACAATTTGTTTTAGAAAATTAATGTTTTTGTCAAAAAATGGTAAACTGGAACATTTTAAATAACTTGGATGGTGTCAAAGCAGCTTCTTCCTGAAATTCCAAAAACTTCAGAATTAACCTGTGAATCAGAACTTACTTTTTTAATAATTGACAATGTGACGTGTGTGCAAGAAGTTTAAAAGAATAGAAATCAAGGAAAATATTAAAGCTGCTGCCAGTGGCTCATTAAGGTAACGGTAAATGCACTCCGCACTCTTAACATCTGACAAGTTTAGGGAGAGAGAGGGTTAAAAGCTTTATAAGTATAAAAAAAAAAGAATCAAAATTTTATTTTGACGCGCACAACACTGGGTTTATGTTTACATCTACCAGCCACTAGGTGGCACTGCTACGGTAAAAGGTCTGCTTGGCAAGGCAAGGCCTGGGCTGTGTAAAATGGCGGACTCGTTAAGTCAAGCAGCTGATTCTGAACCCAGAAGATGTTTTAAAGGTAAACTCTGTTGTAAAATAAACATATTATTAGAAATGAGTCCTTACCCTGCACTATTCGTCACTGGACATGGTGCTGGCTGGTCACTTCACGTGTCAGCAGTGAACCAACACCCAGACGGTTTGTTGCACTACCACCTCTAAACACTAGATGTCACTATAGTGTCCGTGTTCCATATTCAACCTTTAAGTCGTGATTTTTGCTATTCATTGCTCCCTCACTTTTATAAATCTTGGGAGAATTTCTTGATTGTTGTCTTACATTTTAAAGCTTGTTATGACCAGTTTTTATCAGTTAGGTCAAATTGCCAGCGCTAAATCTTATTTTCGTTCTATAAACCCCGAGAAGCCAGGCCTGGACTACTGCAGTGACTCGGAGAAGTCCACAAAAGAAAGCTGTTAAATGAACAGCCTATTCTCTGCTTTTGTATCCCCCAGATTCCAGGCAGATGCAGTCATCTCCATCTTGGTCCTATGACCAGTCCTATCCATACCTCGGCCAGTTAACCACGCCCACTGTTCACACAGCCAATCCACTTTCACCTGGCCGCTCCTCACTCAGTGACCTGTCGTCAAGACTCACAGGTAACAACCTCCCGACACACACACACACACACACACACACACACACACACACACACACACACACACACACACACACACACACACACACACACACACACACACACACACACACACACACACACACACACACACACAAGATAATTGAGTAATGGTTGTCCCTGACCTTTGCCCTTTCTCAGGTCCTGACCTTACAGCTTTCAGTGACCCCAGGATGACTTTGGAGCGATCTTTTACCTCACTTCCCTCTTTGCCCGACTCCCGTTTCTCCGATCCTCGGGTGCACTACCCCCCTACGGCAGCGGCTTTCTCCTACACCCCATCCCATAATCCTGTGTCTAATGGTGCCCTTGGCATCACCATGGCAACAGCCATGGCAACCACTCCTACAGGGCGGTACCACACATACTTGCCTCCTCCCTACCCAGCAAACACCCCTCACCAAGCTCAGAATGGGCCCTTCCAGTCCACCTCGTCACCGTATCACCTGTACTACTCCACCGCAGCCGGTTCATACCAGTTCTCCATGATGGCCGGAGGAGGCAGCAGCAGCGAATCTCGTACACCACCACGAATCCTGCCTCCATGCAGTAATGCCTCTACAGGCTCCCCCTTTCTGCACCCGTCTCTGCCCAATCAGAATGAAGGGGTGAGTGTAGAGGTGGAATCCAGCCACAGCAGCTCCCCAACAAACATGGCTGCCGCTGAAGCTGTATGGAGACCCTACTGAAGCCTCTGAGGTGGCAGTAGACCATCTGGACATGTAATGGCAGATACTGGAATGGGTGGATGAAAATAAAACCATTATTGGAGACTTCATAACAACTTAAGACCCCCAAGTGAACGGAGAACAACTGAATACCAACAGCATCATTTTCATGTCCACTCATATTACTTTTTTGGGATTACTCTTGGAATAAATGACAAACAAACAAAAATAGTTTTGAGTTTAGCCATTAAAGAAGCACAAATTCAAGAAAAATGACCAAAAAAGTTAAAGACTGGTACAAACTATTTGGAACTCGTCCATTTTGACTTTTGTACAATGGAATCCATTGTTTTCCTCGAACACTGATTTGTTTTGGCAGCTCTCTCACTCTTTTCTGTACTAAAGATATGTTTTAGAGGGGACATTTCTAATTTACTGTTACTGGAACATTATTTTAAGAGTTTTTCCTATAGCATTCGTTTAGCTCAACAGGGAAAATCGCTTTCATTCTGGGATAAACTAATTCTGAATTGGTTTTCCAAGATATAGAAATGAGACTGTGAATGCAAATGTTCTACTGTGTGTGTTTATTGTAGTGACATCAGCCAGACTGAGCTGTTTCGATTCATGTTTTGGAGAATAAAGAGCTCCGTGTCACAAATGAATAAAAGTCTGTGTCTGACGTTTCTGACAATTAGTTTTATAGATGATTCACTATCGAGATCAAATTTGTAGAAAAGTACTTTTATATCAACAATTCCAATTCATAAAATGGAATATATAATACATAGACTCATCACACAAGGAGCCGTTTAATTCAGCTTTTCACTGGTTTAAATTTTAATTATGGCTCTGTGATAATTAGACTCATGAAACAGTTCAGTGTTGTAAAGTCGTGTTTTCCCAGACTGGTCCAGTGGGAAAGATGTAACCAGAACCAGCGCTACGACTGATGCAGCTCACTCCTGAAATCAGGGATGGCATCAGAAGTGTCTCACCAGGTCTTTGATCACCTTTTCTCTCAGAACTCAGAGACAACAGTCAGAATAATATATTTGTTTTCAGGTTGTAACATAACTTTGTTTCTATGATTAGGTTTGGACTGATGTTTTTTTTTTTTGTTACTATGATGTGTTATTTGTAGGAAATGATGGCTTTTTGTGTCATGCTGTGGAGATGCAGGTATCCAAGACAAACAGCTGAAAAGCTCCTTCCTTCGATGTCTTATTGAACATGAGCAAATTGTTTTTAGCCAGAGTTATGTGCTCCAGAGCCACAGGTGACATGTTCTGGGGAAAAGCTCTGACCCAAGACATGCAGAATCAGCCTCGTACTCGGGTAGGTGTAGCAACATGAATGCCTCGTTTGTGGCCCAAAGGTCACAATTCCCCAGCTAGGTCGAGCTGGGTCAAGCTGTAACTTTTGTTCCACAGATGCTCCATCACAGGAGCCGTGCAGTCTGCTAAAGCCATCTTTTATCTGTCCGCTGTTCCGTCCCAAGATGAAGGACACTTCAAGATTATTTAAAATAATATTTTTAATAAACTCTTTTTACTGTTTATTATAATCAACATAAATAATCATCGTGGTTCGGTATAAATGTATTTAATTACTGAAATGACTAATTATTCTTTGGGTTAATAATTATTATTTATGATAATCAGTAATGTTGAACAGTGTGAAGAAGGTCATTTGCACATGTACACATCACGCAGAGGGACTGAATCCAGGGTAAAGTTAACTTGCTCTCACATGTTTTTGCTCCATAACAACAAGCTTTCTGACGTGTTCTGAGGTTTTGTTAAAACCAAAACTCTTCAGTTCAACTCCGGTTCTTGAACCAAGCAGATACTCTCGTGGCGACGAGAGTCTCATGAGGATAATGGGCTCGACACACGGGAGGCGACAAACGGCCACGATCAGCGAAATTTGTCGCTGTCGCTTTTATTACCTGACACACGGGAGGCGACCTGCGGCAGCGGCCAGCGGCAAAGCCGTCTACGTGTTCTTTTCAAGCCCCCACAATGCGTCTCTAAAAATGGTCCCAACCCGGAAGTAAGAGAAATTGCAGTTCCACCCTCATCCACTGGGGGCTGGTACCAGAAGCGAGCAAATCCTCATTGACTCCCATGTTAAAAATGCCAATTTCACAGCAGAAATAAACATGTTTACAGCCTGGTACCAAAACATGTTTTTTGTCTAAATTATCTAGTTTATACTCATGACAACTCTGAGGGGGGTGAATTTTTTTCTCACTCTTCTGTTTAAGTGTATTGAAAGCCTAAAATTTTGTATAATTAATGAGCATCAGACCCACGTGACCACAGAGCTAGCTCCGTGGAAAGGCCTCAGTACAGCCTCGGTCTCTCCTGTAAACTGTTTCGGGATTTTGAGTCTCTGTGCTTGTGAATTCTGTTTTGGATATTATTTGTGCAATTGTTGGACAAAATGTCTTGCAGTGGTATTAATTGCACTAGAGCGTCCAAGGAGTCTCCACTTCATTTTTTTTCGGTAAGTTAAAATCTATATTCGTATTTTATGTCACTGCCGCCTTTAAACTAGCTGAGTTTACCGAAGTAGCTAGCTAACTATCAGTTTAACATGTAGCATGTACTGTTTAACCATGAAATTTAAATGTAAAATACAGTAAAATAATTAATAGGGCATATTTCGATGGGTAAAAGGGTAAAACCCAGTGCATTTAAGATAAAAATGGGTTGAAACATGACGGAGCGCCCCGCTTGGGGGGACACTTCTGTGCTCCATTCTTTCATCCGGTAATCTCCAGCGGTCAGGCCGGGCAGCCTGACCGATGCGGCGCCTCGCTGCGCGGGCTGACCGCTTGTGGAGCTCTCGAACTCGGAGATAGATCTGACCGGAGAAATACTGCAGCTCGGTGAGAAGTCTATAGGGCATACAGCGTTTCCCTTAAATCCCACTGCCACGCCGACAAGATCCCAAGTTTCTTTGTTTTTGTTGGCGCTGTTTACCGAAGAAGCAGCGGGAACACCAGCAAGTTTCATCAGACTCGTAAAGTTTGTTTTTGCTGGGGACCCCCTGTATTTTACCGCTCCCTCCTGCAGTCTTCCCCTATTAAAATTTAAATTGTGTAACTTTATGTCTTGGGATGAATGACTAATATTCATGTTAAACTAAAACGTTAGGTATTTAGGGGGAAAAAACAAAATAATAAACATTATACAGATGTCAAATAAATCAAACTGTAATTAAACTATGTATTTTCAAAGTCTCGAATCTGGATAAAATCCAACAACATATGCTCTATAAATAAACACTACACATGGCTTTTACACACACACACACACATGCATGCACGCAAGCACACACACACACACACACACACACACACACACACACACACACACACACACACACACATGCATGCACGCACGCAAGCACATTCACTCACTCACACACACACACACACTCGCACACACACACACACACACACACACACACACACACACACACACACAGTGATCTGGTGTACCAGTGTGTTCATGAAACCAAAGAAGTCCAATTGCCTTCTTTAAAAATCCATTTGATGTCATACTGAACAACTGTTGTATTTGATTCTAATTTTAATGATTCTGTTTCAGGTGGAAATGCTGTGTGATTCCTGTGCCATGTGGCCCATGACCTGTGTCAGCCTTGCTGAGTTCTCTGTAGCAAGGTTTTCTGGTGCTTGTGGCCGTTCCAGAGTGCACCTGATCCGGTCTAACACTTCACATCCCAGCACACGCACAAACACATGCTTGTTGATGTTTGTTGTTCATGATGTTTGTGGTTCATGGTTTACATGTTTATAGTTGTTCATCCCACGTTTTCTTGATGACTCTTAGAAATGTTTCTTCACAGGTGCAGCTGCTGGTTGCTGTTTTTATGTTGGTTTGCTAGTTGTATTAATTGTTCTCTTATTTACTTGTTTATCCTCTATCAGCAGTCTTTATTCCAGATTGGTTCAGCATTTACATGCTGATGTGGCGATACATAACCCAAACCAATACTCAAGGGGAACCTCGTACACATTAAGGCTCCTTGTCATGAGCCGGGGTGAGTACTCCTGTTCTCTTAACCATCTGCGAGTCTCTTGCCAGGAGAGGGAGTGGCCCAGCTGTTCCTGATCAGCAATCAGCTGGGTGCTTTCCTATTTATTGTCCACAATGCCAGTTAACAGCGCCGGGTAGGAAAGGAGATCGAGCTCCGCTTATTCCTATGCCAGTGATTGATGTACCGTTTACGCGGATTGCTATGGACATTGTAGGTCCATTGGAGAGGAGTAGTTCAGGGCATAGATATATCCTAGTGGTATGTGATTATGCAACTCACACAATTCGACGCCAGAAGATTGCCTCAGTTTTGGTAGTAACCAGCCACTCGTGTTACCTCTAGTGTTCCTAGGACAGATTCATTAGCCAATGGTGACGTTTGTTGATCTGCGACGTTAGGAGAGTCTCAAAATTCAGCGCACAGATTTCACTCACAAACGCAGAAAGGTTCACAAATGAGAAGCTGTTCGTAAATGCACGTTCAGCAATTCGTATGATCTGTGAGTTTATATTACAAGTGTTCTTACAAATAATATTTGTGAACCACAGAGCGTGAACTTCAGAATTAGCGTGTGCATTTGTGGAAAATGTTGCGTGACTTATTTTTTCACATTGTATTTAAATGAGTCAAAGAGTGTGAATTTCCGAATGAGCGTGTGCGTTTGTGTTCCTCCGAATTATATTTGTGAAACACAGAATGTGGATTTCCGAATGAACGTGTGCATTTGTGGAAAACGTTGTGTGACTTAATTCTTATGTCACTGCTTCCGCTCCAGTCGGGGTTCTTTTTCCCCCCTCTCTCTCTCTCTCTCTCTCCTCTTCCTGAGGAGGATCCACTCCCTCTTTCCTATTCACTCTCTCTCTCTTTCTTTACATTTTTAATCACAGTTGTCTATTTTTTGCTCATTTTAATTTAATCATTTTCTAAATTCTTTTTTCTATTTTACATGTTTTGTTTTTGTGAAGCACCCTGTGATTTTTATCTTGAGAGGCGCTATAGAAAAGATCTTTTCTTCTCTCTCTCTCTTAATTCATGCACTTAAATATTAATGTTCAGATTTTATTGAAAAACTTGTTCTGTAATAGTTCCTTTACTATTGTGATCAAAAACATTTAATCTCAACTCTGAGGCTGCTCTGTAAATAGCTTTCAAATAAACAATACACATAGCAACTTCTGATCAAACTTAAAACAACGTATTGATGTAAACCACACCCACTTCCGGGTTAGGCCACGCCCACTCCGAGTACAGATACAGATAATTTAGATGGTTGAACCAGGGGCGTAGCACCAAATTCTGGGCCCTAGGTACAAGTCTTCTAGGTGGGCCCCCATGCTCAATTACTTAATATCTCTCTGACACATTTTTTGTCATGCTATAAGACAAGATAATAAATATGATCTTAGTTTAACCTCTATATTGAGCAAATACAAATGCCAGCATAATAAAAGTGAAATGCCAAGACTTCACATATAATTATTTTTATTTGCCAACAATGTGTTCAAACAAAAATCCTGGAATTTATTTTCCTGTAAATGCCCACTGACGGGTCTTCATGTTAGCAAAATCACTTATGAGATCTTTAAAGTCCAATCCTTTGGCTAATT